CACTGGAAAACCAAAAGGCATGAAGCCTTACCGTCAAGTCCGTCTTTGGACTACACAGTGTTCCTTGGATTTTGACAGACCCACTCCACAGTCTCTAGCTTCCTGATCTGACCTTGGTTTTCTTCACGGTATTACATAAACAATTTCAGAAATATCAGATCTCTTTGTTAGAAGAAGGTGAGTAATTCCAGTTTTGTATTCTGAGCAAAACAAAAGCTATTGCACTATTTCCCCCCCTCTTTAAAAGTAAGGAAGATATCTCATGTGCTGAAAATGTCCATAGGCAGAAGAGTTGACAGAACTTCCTTTGCCCAATTTTTACAATACAAAAAAGAAACCAATTGCTCTAATCTCCAGTAGTCTCAGGAGTGAAACAAACTAAGGCAACAAAATTGTTCATGGTGCCTTTTCTTCCCCTTTTAATATTCTATCGATTGCAAAGGATATGAATATGAGCTTAAGATGTGGGAAGCCCAAAGGAAGAGGCTTCCGTTCCACAATTTGTGCTTGCTTTCTCTCCTCTGTTCCCTACAGCTTAATACTATCACTATCACTAGAGGTCCCTTGATCACAAGACATTAAAAAGAGAAAGAACCAATATTTTCCTACATCGGGCTACGTATACATCACATTTCCCACAAAGTTCATCTCCCTTGGACAAGGCACGGGCTAGGACAGATGGCAGGGATGGCAGGGGTAAGGACCGGCTGCAGCTCCTTAATCCTGGATATCCTGTTGGAGCATCATAAACTTGCTAAATTTGCACCATAGAATTGCATCCCCAGCATGTGAACTATAAGGTATTCAATAAAACTGTAAGAATCTGTATTACAGAGTCCAATCTTATCCATTACTTTTTTTTTTCTTTTTTCCTCTTCTGTGAGAGAAAAATGCAACACAATCCCATACTTTCTCACCTATTTCCCTATTTTCCCTACAGAAAGAACTGAAAAATCTTAAAATGATAGCACAAATCAAAAGATTTACCAGCTGTTATGTAGTGCATTCGTTTACAGCTGAAACCACCTTTTACATTTCAGAAATACCTTTTAGCTTTCTGTCCTCAAGTTTAATGTCCGCATGACAGACATCTAAAGTTTTAACTTTAATTTGTTAATTCGTTTTCAAAATATTCTGAAATCTCATGCGTACATTCAAACAACAGTGTTGTTCAATTAATCCCTTATTTATTATAGTCTTACTTGCATTACCTATATTAAAGGAACTCCAAACACTGCTAACAGGAAATATCTAATAGAAGCGATGTTAAGGTCCTCCTTCTGCTCAATTACTAAAAGGATTTTTTTTCCCAAAAAGTATATGGGCCACTGATATGTGGGGATCAGTGATGGACTTGTGAGCTTCTAGGGAAAAACTGCTGCCCCATATCAAACCCAGCAGATTTCACACTTGTATTTTTATATTAAAAAAATGTGCTGAAATTAAAGATGGGATAAAGAAACATATGTAGGGGTTGTAAAACTTTACTGGGTAGCTGGGAGTAAACAAATCTACAAAATCTCCATGTGAACACAGTACTGAACAAGTTCTTTGGTTCTTACATCATACTTCCTATACAGGAAGCCCTAGGCAAAAAGAAAAGTTTTAAAAAGCAAAAAAAAAAAAAAAAAGTGATTGTAATAGAAGCACTGGGTTTCACTGTCCCTCTTTTTCTCTCTTAAAAGAGATGCTTTTTAGTGCAATTTTCTATAAGTTCAGAAAGTTTGTCAAATATCATATACAAAACCATGTCTCTGAAGCAGCTCGTGTGATATTTTTCATATATATATAGATATCTTTATAGATATATGATCTAATCATCTTCAAATTCTAACAGAAAAAAAAAAAGAGTTTAGAATGCCCATCTATGCCTAATACAAGGCAGGACCATGTCATCTACTTGAGTTCATTTTGATCATCCTTTCCCTTTCATACTACATGACCTTTATTCCCTCTCCTATAAGGAGACTGCTGGTCATGTGCATTTGTTTTGCAATATCCAAAGGAAAAGAGTCTCCTGATGAGCCACTGACCTATGAAAAGTGCTTCACAATTTCTCAACTTTCCTAAGAGATCTTGAAACGCCCTCCTTTCTTCAGGAAAGATAAACTTCAGCAGATATCAGATGAATGCATGACAACCATCTAACCAGCCTGCAGATTTGGGAATCCACATGTAGGCTGAGAAGATGCCTGCTCACACACGCACACACACACAGCAGTTTAAATGATGCTACTGAAATTATTTTAGGCAGCACTGATATCAGGCTTTTTTGCCTGTTTCACTGGGTAGTACAGAAGTTTGCAAAATAGCTTAAATGCAACTTACTCATTTGTGGTGCCACTTGCATATTCAACTGGTGGACACCATAGGAATCAAGGTTTTGCTAACATTTTGGCCCTGGCTAGGGAGTACGGCAATAGATTTCCTTGCCTCAGTGCTTCAGACAGTACTAAGATGCAGAAGAGCTCAAAGATTTCACCAGGAAGTTCTTCAGCAACCATCTACAATTTTAGGCTCAAGCGCAAACCCCACAAAAGATGTCAATATTGAAAAGACACAAGCTGAAGTCTGATTTCTGCTTTCAGTTTTCCAAGCAAGGTTTGGGACTGTCAGGTTACAAGCCACACCCAGTCTTGTTTGGTTTTTCAGGAATATCGTTCAAGATCAAAAAAGAGAAAATAGTGAGACTGGACTATGTCACGACAGCCAGTTAATTAGGCAATGTTAAGAGCTTAAAAGAACATTATTCTAATATTTAGACTTATCTTCTCTAACTGTTTAGGTCACCAGCTGTATCTAACTCACTGCCAAACACTGAATTTTGCACTATCAGAGAGATCTATATTTCTTTTTATTTATTGCTACAGACCCTTCTTTCTTGCTATTCAGAGTACAAAGTGACGTGGAAGTCTGCACATATCCTTCAGCTGTGCTCCTCTGGAGGGCTTTCTCCTGACAGTGGTTCTGCTGATCTTTTAAGGATGAAGCAAGCTGTAGCAGCTCCAGAAGGAAAGTATACTCTCTCCATCAAAAGATAAATCAATGAAAGAATAAGCTCCTCAGCATAACTGCAATAAATATTTAAGGAGCAAGTTCATCAGGTGAAAGCTCTCCCGTGATTTTTAAGGAATCAGCCACTAGATGGCAGGAAAATGCAGTTTAATTTTCTTATCATTATGAAGAATTTGCCCAACACAGATCTCTTACATCTGAGATAACAGGTAGTACGATGCATCAAGCTATGTCAGATAAAAGACGATCATCTTTCTTACCTAGTACAGCTGCTACCTTGACTTTTTCCTCCTCTGCTATAAAGCCTGAGTGGGTAAATATTCAAAAACTCAAGAGTCAAAACAAGTAAACCTCACTCTAAATTTCATTATTCTGGGAAGTATGTCAGGAGGGGGAATATGGGCAACCTTTTTAAAGACGTTTTGTTATCACAGATGTTTTGTTATCATTTTAAAGAATAAAGTATGTGCAGATTCAGGTATATAAGGTCTGCTTTTCCACCCAAGAATTATGCAAATAATAGCAGTTAGTGGAAAGAACGGAGCATGGAATATACAAAGACTCTAGGGAGCTTGGCAGGAAATAAAATGAGGAAAAAAACTCAAATTCTCATAGAATGACCCCATTAAAAGTATATATTATATTTGCAACAAACCCTACCTTTTTTGTTGCAACGAAGTTATACGTACAACTGGAAAATTTATACATCTACATTAACATTATTTATGCACAGAAATTATACTATAATAGTTTCACAATCTTTTATATATATAAAAAGCTGTACTTCACAACAAAACACTTCAGAAAATATAAGGATATCATCAGAAAGCATTATGCTACTGTAGGAGCAAGACTATAGCTGACCTAATGTACCACAAAGAAAAATCTATGTAAAAAACTGTTCCATAGTGATTCAGTCATCTTCCTCTTTCAGATCTTACACGTACTATGTTAGCATAGGGACCTAAGCAAATATTACTTTCAAACCTAACCAATTTTATATTCATCTATCTAATAAAAAGATAGCGTTTTCTTTTTTTACGGACTAGACTTTTTATCATCATAAAAATGGTCCTTGGTCCTTGGACTAGTGTCCATAATCCTTTCACATAACTACATGTGTCAGTGATGAAATCTAAGACCGATTGAAATCAATGGGATTTTTGTTGAGATCCTATCTGCAAACTCAAACAAGAATTTACTTTTTCAGATGCCTGCAGTATGAAAAAAGGGTCTGAGAATGCAAGGTTTGGGTAGGAGAGCAAACCAGAACATCATCCTCTATTTTATTGTACCAAAGCTAAAGTCTAATGCTGTGCAAACCCCCTCCTTCCCCACAATAAACTACTGTTGAAAGAAAGCACAAAGACAGAAGAGATCAAGTAATATGGCAAACTGTGTTCAGTAAGGACAAAAAAAAATTCACTGAGAAAATATAAATTTAAAATTTTCAAAGGTTCTTTAGAAGTTACAGAATTTTTCTGGAGTGAGAGACAAATTAGCTGTTGAACTGGGAAGAAACATGCCTAAACAGAACACCTAATATTTAAACTGAATAAACTTGATACAATAACACTGCAATTCCTTTTGAACTACAATTAAAAAACATTGTTAAAAGAAGGACACTTTCAACACTAGTGCAATATGAAGAGTTTGCTGTAAAAATTCATGCTTTACTATTACATTGTAATTCATATAGTTAATAAAAACTAAAACACAAATGCAAACACAAAAGTGGTTAGTACATGTTTTCAGGTGAAATCAGATTTTTAAGTGCCAACTTTATCCTGCACATGGATGACTCAAAAGAGGGTCAAATTTCAGTATCATTTTGATTTCTTGAAATAAGAAAAAAAAGGACTATCAGAACAAATTTGGTCTATGAACAGTTCCATGACTAGTGCATTTGACAGGTTACTGCTTGGTATTTAACTCAGACACTAACTGCAAATAGATTCAGTAAAAAGTCCAGATAAGTTACTTACTGAAGTAAAAGCCAGAAGTTCCTCTTCAGTTAATTTGTGTATTGGATTGTTCTTTTGGAAGTCTATACTGTAAAGGAAAAGAAAAATTGAACAGAAAACAACATTCATTTAATCTTCAGAACACTATGTAGAACATGTTTCTCAAACTTGCAGAAATGTAAAGGATGTTCTGGAAAAGAGTTACAACTACAAAGGGTAGTACATATGTGCAAAAAGACCTAAACCTAGGAGCAGTCACAGGTAAAAAGGATTATCTCAAGGGACCAAAATAGTTGTGCCTTCCCCAGCCCATTCTGAACTGCAATGTCTTACTCTGTTTCAGGTTATTATAATTTTAGGTATCCTGAACAGTTTTAGATCCATTCCCTGTTTTAACAGAAATGTGTTTTCAGTTAAAATTCTATGACTAATTGAAGACAGATTCTGCAAAAAACCCACTAACACTCAAGAAGTGCTCAGGGGTAATCTCAAACACACACTCTTTTTCTAGTCACTCAAAGAACATGACCACTCACTAACTGGTATACAGTTACCACTAACTAGCGGTACACAGACAAAGAGGGAAAACCAAAACACACACAGAGATGAAAATCACAGTTATTTTATTTGCAGTTGGACACGTTTATGGAGATGATCAAGAAACTGGGTTTACATCTCTACATGAGTGAACGTTCTCAGGCAGCAACTCACCAGCATTATCAAATATACTACAAGGCATATCTGCAAGTGGCACAAAGAGCAGTAAGGTTACAATTCAAGCTCTCTGAAATCAAGACACCAAGTGAAAACAAATCCTCCCTAAGAGCAGGGATCACCACCAAAATTTTACAACTGCTACATATATGCTCAAAAATGAACAAAGTATTCCTTCAACTTTGCAGCAGCCGTCATGTTATAGGTAAAAACTACAAAGATAGTATACTAATTGTTATGATGGGTCACAAATAGAAATTACATTCCCTGTTTTACAGTTACCACAGGTAAAACAAAACAGGGAATTACATTCCCTAGCACGGAATTACATTCCCTGTTTTACATGTTATTTTTATGTTCCCTACTTTACTGTGGGGAGATCACTGCCCCAAGCTAACTCTTGCTACTTTTCTTCTTTGCATATACTATGCAGTTACCTTTGCAGAAATAATAATCAATGTTTTCATTAAAATATTTTAACTATCCACAGAGACAAGGTACAGAGTAGAGATTATTCAAATCTCGATTATCCCTGAAAGGTCATGGCGAACAGAGGAGGTTTCTGAGGACCTGAAGAAAGCAAATGTCACTCCAATCTTCAAGAAAAGCAAAGAGGAGGATCTAGAGAACTACAGGTTGGTCAGTCTCACCTCAGTCCCTGGAAAGTGGTGAAGCAAATCCTCCTGGAAGCAATTTCCAAACATATAAAAGGCAAGAAGATGACTGGGAGTAGTCAGCATGGATAACGGGACAGACTGCATCCTCAGCAAGTTTGCAGATGGTACAAAACTGGGAGGAGTGGATGATACACCTGAGGGCTGTGCTGCCATTTAGAGGGACATCAACAGGCTGAAGAAATGGGCATAGAAAGACCTCATGAAGTTTGACAAAGTGCTGAGTCCTGCACCTGGGGAGAATAACCCCTTGCACCAGTACAGACTGGGGGACAACAAGCTGGAGAGCAGCTTTGCAGAGAAAGACCTGGGGAGCCTGGTGGAAAAAAAGTTGAACATGAACCAGCACATGAACTAGATAAAAAACATGCAATATTAAACTACTATAGTTTTTAATGGAATTCAAATTGATAAACAGACATATAACCCAAACAATTAGGAGGGGCGGCTCTAAAAGCTGAAGACCACACGCAGGATTTAGAAACTAATGGCAAGTAAAAGTGTCACAGGTAGTTGAATGAAATATAAGGGAGACAGGAATCAAAAAGGAAGAGACATGTTTCAGATAAAGCAGAACCTTAGAGTACAATCTAATTTGCAGCAGAAAAAAGGATTTGCTAGTAAATTAGCAAAGCTAAACTGCCAGTCATTTGGAACTTACAACCAGTTTTTGACTCTCATTAATCAGATCTACAATGGGAACATAATGGGTAAGATACCCAGTTTAAGTAATTGGTTATATAGTTTAAGACTTAATTAGCTATAATTTTTAAATAGTGGAATTAATAGCAATCATTCCAAACTATGCTTTCCTGGATGACAACTGAATATTTCTGTTTCAAGAACAGATTTGGAAAGTTAGCAAATGTTGAAGAATCTTATGTTAAAAGCTACTAGAAATAAGAAAGCATTCTTCAAATAGCTGAAGTTTTATTCAAATGAAGAATACAGAAAGAATCAAACTCTGGCAGATTAAATAGAAAAGGCAACGATAAAAATAAATTAATTATAAAAATATTATAAGGTAGTCCAAAAGAAGTTTGAGGAGCAACTATCCAAAGGAATCAAAACCAGTACTAAAATCCTTCTCCCAGTACATCAGAAACAAAAATCTTGAGAGTCCACAGGGCCAAATTATAACCCTGCTATAAAAGCCATTGCAGAAAAGCTATATGAATTTATTGCATTAGCATTTATTGTAGAAGAACACAGTAAAATTCCCACAAGACAGCCCTTCTGGGAAAGGGAGAGAATTATAGGATTGCTTGGAGAATCTCTCTGATATCAAAAAGTTGTGAAAGAGGTAACGTTACAAATAGACAGACTGGATAATAAGAAATGACCAGGACCAAATAACGTTCACAGAAAAGTTTAAAGTGAATTTTGGGATGGAAGAGTTGAGTTACTAACAGCAGCGTTATACCTCAGAGTAATAACGTCTCTTTAAAACCTACTCAGTGCCTGAAGATAAGAGGGTGGCAAAAATGATGCCAGTCTTGAAAATTAGCTATGTGGAATCCACATAATGACTGACTTGTAAACGTAACTGTTGCAGGTAAATATGTAGAGACTGTACAGTGAACAGAAAGCCTAGACACACCTGAACAAACACAGTGGCCACGGGGAGAGTCAACGTGCCTTCTGTAAAAGCAACTCGTGCATTACAAACCTGTTGGAGGCTTTTGAAAGGTTAAATAAACATACGAATGTAAGTAAGCTGGTTGATAAAAAATTAACTTGGATTTCTGCAGGGCTTTTTGAGAAGCCCCTCACAAAAGACTTTCAAAGCACTAACCACTCATGAGATAAGATGGAATGTCTTCACAAAGGCAAATAACTGACTAAAAAATAGGAAATGGTATGTGGTAAATGGTCAGTCATCACAATGGAGAAGGTCACCAGTAGACTCCTGCACAGGTTTTGTGCTGTGCCCTGTGTACCATAACATTCATAAATAAACTTGAAAAGGAGAATGTACAGTGAGTTGAGAAAGCTTGCAAAAGATATGACACTCTTTGTGGAAATAAGGATGTAAGCACGCTATGAGGAACTAGAGTAGAACCTCACAGGACAGAGTGAAAAGGTAGTAAAACATAAAAAAGCGCGTCATGTCAAGTAATGTGCAATAGGAAGAACTTCACATAAAATGATAGGCTCTGAACTGACCATTTTACTCAGAAGCAACTCTTTGGCATTGCAGCTGCATAAAAACATCAGCCCAGTGCTAGGCAGCAGATAGAAAAGCAAATCAAACTGTCAGGATTTAATTGGTAAAGGAATATAGAATAGAATACTATTTAAAAAGTATAAAAATACATAAATCCTATATAAAATACCACATAAAGCCTTTGTTTGCCCATCCGTGAATAGTATGTGCTGTTCTGCGCTGCTCCTTTCAAAAGCAGTTATTCAGAACCAGAAAAGGTTCAGAAACGTACAGCAACAATGATCAGACATTTAAAAAAAAAAACCCTACTAACAAGGGAATGACTGAAGAGTTTAGAACTAGCCAAGGAGGGACACTGCAGAGGTTTTCAAAATTGTTAGCAAACTGAAGAAGGAGTTTAGGGACTGACAGCTCATTATCTCTTCCAATAAAACAGCTGGGGTCACTAAATGAAGCTACTGGTATTAAAACTAACAGGAGACAGTTTATTGAACAACAGACACAAAATGGGTAGACAAGCAGATAGCTTTGCCAGAGGATGCTATAGATGCGAGAGGTTTACATAGGTTCAGAGGAGACTAGACAAATATTGGAAAGAGACCCACTGAGGGCTGCTATATAAACAAAACAGATCCCATTCAGGAAATCATCATTTAGAGGCTGGGAGCATACTAGAGAGAAAGAAGCAACACACGCTTTCTCTTATTCTTATTTTCCCCTAGGCATCATCCTATAGCCACTCTTCAAGACAGAGTATTGAGTTAGATGGTTGAAGACAACAGCAGAGTTTTGGTTTGCTTATGTTTCCTCACACATTACCTGTGTGCAAGTGAAGACTATACAAATTAAAGCTCCTCAGGTAACTACTTAAAACTACACTTAACTAGCACGAGATAGATAATGAAGAACAGATAGGTCAGACTTTCCACATATATATTTTAATAAGTATTTGTTGCATTTCTACGCAGTTCTACTGACTGTGTTAATTTTGGGAATGACAAAGAGTCAAACGCAACAAACTGATTCCTTTACAAGCATTTTCAAAGCTTTGCAAAGACTTTTCAAATGACTGTTTCTTATGTACGGATTCTGAAGAGCAAGATAGGGAGTTAATTTCCCAAGTGGAATCTCTTCACACAGCTATACGTACTTGTCCACAGCAATGTACTTCATAGAAATGACTTTAAACAGCCATAAACTGACTATGGTGAGATCATCATAGTATCTGGCACTGTAATCTGTTCGTTCCTTCAAAACAAATTTACACTCACATGAGATGTTTGTACAGATAGGTCAGACTGCCAACAAGTATTTAATAGAAACGCCTTCATCACCTTTAAATGCTGCCCAAGATTTTATTTCACGGCTTTTACTTTTACAGAATCACAGAGTGGTTGAGGTTGGAAGGGAGCTCTGGAGATCATCTAGTCCAAACCCCCTGCTCAAGCAGGGTCATCTAGAGCACACTGCACAAGATTGTGTCCAGACGGCTTTTGAACATCTCCAGCGAAGGAGACTCCACTGCCTCTTGGGGCAACCTGTTCCAGTGCTCGTCACCCTCACTGTAAAGAAGTTTTGCCTGATGTTCAGATGGACCTGCCTGTGTTTCAGTTTGTGCCCATTGCCTCTCATCCTATTGCTGGGCACCACAGAGAAGAGTCTGGCCCCATCCGCTTGACATTCTCCCTTCAGATATTTAGCAGATGTTAAACATTGATCAGCTCCCCCCCCGAGCCTTCTCTTCTCCAGCCTAAACAGTCCCACCTCTCTCAGCCTCTCCTCACCTGAGAGATGCTCCAGCCTGCTTTTCATTTTAGTAGCCCTCTGCTGGACTCACTCCAGTAGCTCCATGTCTCTTATGCTGGGGAGCCCAGAAGTAGGATAACAAGTGTAAAATCTGGCTGCCTACAGTTAGTTTTACATAAGCTCTTCCACCTCAACAGCTCGGAAGAGAGAATACTTTCTAATCATCAGCAATAAATAGGAACTCACAGACGAGTACAGGTTTGGAATTGTGAAGTGCTTCACCAGCTCACATGCTACTCAGGCAGCAGTTAACTCATCTGAATCAGATGCTTACTACAAAAAGCAAATGAAATGAAACCATATGTTTCATTTCCTGTTCCTGGTACAGAAGCATTACATACATGAAGAAAATAAAATCATCTTGCCGAGGGAAATAAAGGGAGAGAATGGAAAAAGACAAAAACAGTTGTTTACCTGCTTTTGCTTTGTACTTCTGATACAAGCTATATAGCATGACCTTGCTGTAAAGCACAAAGGCGGCAGCAATCACATATCAGCTAGCACACGATCCACTTCACTTACCTGCAGTGATCTAAAATTTAGGCATTGAACCTCAGCTAACTGTCTAGGCTTTATTGACAGTCCATGGGAAAAGATGGGTATACGCAGGGAGTGATTCAATCCATTCTAAAGTATGTGCCTGAAGTGGAATGAATCACACGCTGCAGGCGCCTGTCTCCATCGAGTAGAGACAACCAGCAAAGATCAGGGTGGATAAAGGTTTTCTTTTCTCACTTACCTAAGTTTCCCATTATGTTTCCACTGCCAGTACAGTACAGCTGTACTGGGATATTTATTTTATTTTAATTGCTCAGTTGATCCAGTCCATACACAGTAATTTTGATTTTAAAAATCCTTTAGTCCTAAAGCCATTTAGTGTTTATGTAGCTACAGTTTATTTTGTAAACTGTATGTTATTATACAATTTATTATTGTATAATAAAAGTTAGGCTTCCCATCACTTTCCTTATCAGCTGAGGGTATCAGCTGCTGTATCTATTCCAACAGTGACATAATTTCGGCTACTTCAAAGAGATGAGGGAAACTTACTCTCCTCTCAGTTTCTCAGCATTTTGTTATCTATACTATATTAACACACTGTGTAAATCTTACACAGGCTCATTCTCGTTTACTATCCATTATGGTTATTTATCAGGACTTGAATATCTTTTTTCATCAGACTCTGAAAGTTTGGTTCAAGGCTTTATATAATTTTTGACTAGTCTTAACGACGATTAAAAAAAATAAAAATAAAAATCATCATGACTAGTTATTTTCATATAAAATAACAAAGAAAAGTCCTAACCAGATGATGCTTCTGCACACCTAGGAATTTCCTCTAAGATTTCCTTTAGGCTGCAATACTGTTGCAACGAGACGATCTGAAGAGACTTCTAGAGGTTTTCTTCCTAGATAGGTGCTACAAAGCCTGGATATGACTGAATAGGTAAACTCTGTGTAAACCAGGCAGACTTTACTATTATTTTTCACATCCTGTTCTATTTCATTATCATAAGAAGCAAACATTCTTTTCCTTTAGATTTAGTTCCTCAGACTGCTCAGTATTTGGAAGAGAAGGGATTCAAAGAGAAGTGTGAGAGCCAAACACTTGAAAGGAAATTGCCTTCTTCCACATTGTGGTGACTAGCCTCAAGGTGAGCTGGAAAGTGCGATAGGAACAACAGCAAAAGGTGAAAAGTAATAGAAGAAAAAATTAGGTGCCTTGAGGCAGATGAGACCATAGATGGGCATCTTACTAACTAAATAAGCTTCAACTAGGAGATTATGGCAATTAAAAAAACACTTCAGTACATCTAAAACAGGTTTGAGATAACAGACAGATAGAAACAACAGATGCCACAGAGAATTGGCTGGGTACAATTTACATTGCTACGTTGTTATATAAATGGATTGCTGATAAAAGAGTTGTTCTTTCCTTACATCTGTGCAACAGAGGTTTAAAAAAAGAAAAAACAAAACACCATCAAGGCATTTCAGGTTTATACAAAATTACAAGCTGGCTGCATGAGATGTTGCTTGGATTTTTGCAGAGACATTTGGTATGAGGTATTTTAACACTTTGAAAAATATTTTATAACCTCTTAAAATGTTATTAGGGGAGAAAATATTTGTTTGCACTTAATCATTATAACCTACTTGAAGGGAAACATTTCACAGCAGGAAATATTATGTGTACTTCAGATACTTCCATAGCACCCTATGTGATTAAGTGTTTTTCAGTAACTAAAACATTTTCAATTTATTCTGCTACCCATAACCTTTCTACATACGTTCCTGATATTGAGTTAGCATTATTTGGCTACCAAAACAAAACAAAACCAAAAAACCCAAACCACCACACACACCCCCCCAACTAAAAACTGTGGGCTTCAATACACCAGGTCAGTCTTTAAAACTTTATTTACATAAAGAAAAACATCCACTTCTGACAGTGGTAGCCAACAACAGACACCATTAAAGCGGTGCTGGACAAAGCCTAGCTAGAACTGCTTTGGAAATGCAAAGGAAATCTAAAGACTACTCAACTCATTAAATGTTTATTCCACAGGCTCTCAAGCATGAGGAAAAAGCAAGAAATTTGCTAGAGCCAAGGTCTGAGAAGCATGTTTTGTTTAAAAGCTATCAAATGCTTTAACATCTATAAGTTTCCTTGAAAACTGATACGCCAATAGCTGGTATACATACCAAGGGTATGGCTAGCAATCCAAGTCCAAATTCCATTTAGTCAGAGGGGCTGTATCCTAAGTCTCCATACAACAACATTTCTCAAAGCTGAGAATCTACTAACATCTCTGGAATATGGCTGAATATCAAACCCTGGCTCTATCTATGACTGAAATTGTTTCAGTTGCCTAACTGAAAGGCAGTTCCCACCCTTTGAATGGCATTTATCACTCCTACGGGGAAGCAACACTGAAAACACTTTTTTGTTTGGTTTTCCTCCTTTTTAAATGAGCTTCTTGCCTTGAGTCTTGCCTAACTCACATGCCACGTGGATTACAATGTACACACACAGGCAGTAGTCAAGATGGTTTCTAGCCACTATTCATAGCATGGTGGTTTTCTGTGGTCAGGAAACCTACTGTGCATCAGCAAGTGTCAAATTCAAATTCTACCCTTGGACAAAATACTAAGAAAGATCAATACACAAGTTAAAATTTTCTTGGAGAGGGCAGAGGGAAGAGGGATAATATAATCCAAATATAACATAATACTGCTTTAAAGAATAAAGTACACACGAAGAAAACGCTCATCAGAAATGGGAGGGTGAGGGACTTTGGGTGAGGGTGAACAACCAGAAATGACTGAGCCAAGAATGAATGTCAACTGCACTGCTTGCTCCTCTCTTTTGTCCCCAAACTGGATCTAGAAGTGGCCTTGAAAACAAATCAGATTTAAGCCTTTGGAAATACGAAGCAGCAGTACATATTCTGCTCATGAATTCTTGCCTTCTGCGGGTGGGCTGAATGGTTAAAGGGCATAGCTGAAGCCAGAAACTTCCAACTTCATGTTCAGCTTTAACTATATGACCAACAAAGTGTTTGGACCTTCAAAAAGCTGCAGTCTGCAAAACGGGTACATGGAAGGAAACAACTTTCTCTCCACTAGTGACTCCCCCTGCACAAGAAGGGGAGAAAGAGCTGAAAGTTCTGGAAAACGGGGTTGGGGGAGATAAATTTTATAACTGCACTGCGAAACAGGCAAAAAAAACCCATACAGCAACAAAAAAATTACTGCCCAATTATGTTGTTAGCTTATGCCCCTGAATTCTCTAACTGGCCCTCTCAGTAACTACATACTTAAACATTTCAGAGTGTAACTGCTACTGCTGTCACCCTATCACAAAGATAGATCTAACAGCATCCATGTGCCTCCCTAGAGAAAACACTGGTCCAGGATTCACTTCTTGTTCTGCTCCTGGCTACCTTCTGGCTCGGGCAAGAAATTTCAGCAGCTCTTTTTCCATCATTTTGCAACTTACAGATCAGAAAAGTGCTTTGAGAATTACAAATGACAGATATCTATCAGAAGTAACTATTCTTACTTCACTACATTAATGCTTCTGAAACAATCACACAGTAAAATTATGTGATAACTGTAACTGGCTAAAAGACCACTGAGTTGCAGAAAAAAATATTTCTTTGCTAGAAAACAAGGCTATTAATTGGAAACTGGCTTATTATCCTCAAAGCTTAGGCTCTTTCTTGCTGTTCTGCGCCCTTTCCAAAAAGCATATGGCAGAAAACTTTTGAAAACCAAGAAAAGAAAACTTAGGTGCAAAACCATGGGAACTTAGTGCTACACCTTGTAGTTAGCAACAGCCAGTCTGAATATCTACAGTATTCCAAGCTGCACTCAGCAGTGGTGGTAGGGTTTTCCTTGTCGATCCTCACACGAGGCTGAGGCTGCAGACTGACCTTAACCAAGTGGCATCTTCATATGTTAACTAAACACCATATGACATTTGAAAGACGATTAAACTGAGACAGAGGACAAGAAGCTTTTCCAGGGTAAGAGAGTGATATAGCAATTAATGAAATATTGCTGAAAATCTTAATTAAGAAGAAAAAGCTCAACTTGTCACCGCGTTGTTATTTCATTATTAGAAAGTTTCAAATAACTTTTTTTTTTTAAATAACTGCAAATTGACTTACCAAATTCCAAGGATTACAGCAAGCTCTTCTGCACACAAATCAGGTATCTGGTACTGATCAGCATCTGCTAGTTTTATCTCGTTTAGCACTGTATCATCATTTAAATCATAATTCTGTTGGAGGGGGAAAAATACATTTTAAAATAGAATGGCAAAAATGATATAAATTGTTGCAAAGAAATTTTGATGCATTTAAAAACGTGAAAAAAATATAGACCTGTTCTATGATCTTCAGTGCTTTAATGGTTATTATCCCTCCAGCTGACTGAGCCAGTGGCAAGATTTTTTCAGGAGAAAAAAGAAAAAAGAAAAAAAAAGTCCTCCCTTTCAGCAGAAGGAACCACTTTTTCTACAAGGAGAATGGCTATCACGCAAAATGCCTAACAGGAATGGTCCTCAGAGCAACTTCAATGTTACTAGAAATATTCCTATTTTCTTAACTAAGGGCTAAAGGTGTTCTTCTTTTTAAATTTTTTTCTGATAGCATTATCAATAACCTCCTCCTCTATTACATATACTCTGTTTTGGCTTGTCTGCATGATGTTAAATGCTTTCCTAACAGGCAAGTTTTCAGGCTAGTGTCCATGGACCTCTGCGAATGTACAGATTTCTTTTAAAATATCGGCAAAGCACAACTAAGAAAAGCACGCTTATTGCCAGTACAGTTAAATTCCTTACTTTGCAATTGAATTACTTCTTTTTTTGGTTTTTGTTTTTGTTTTTTTTTTTAAAGGAGTTCTGCAAATTAAAGAAATGCAAACAAATAACTCCTCTGAACTGGCATCTCCAGATATTCTTCCCTGGTAAAGGCTAGAATGGGTATTCTGAAAAGGTTTGCTCCTGGGCAAGTATTTGTGATTTATCAAACTTCCTCCGGAACAAAGAGTTTGAGGAGTGTTCAGCTTAACTTTTACAAATAAGTATGCTACCTGAAGTTCATTGTTGGTCATTTAACTTCAAGAAGAAGGTAATATAATCTGTTGCTGAAAAGTGTGAATTACTGTGTTTGCAGAATTTGTGCCTGTTTGGAAACACCAAAAGATTCCTTTGGCTGCATCCAAGAAAGAGGAGGACGTAACATTGTTTCACCTTCCTCTGAAAAAACAAAGCCTTTAAGCATATCATTGAAGATTTTCCAATTAATAGAAGCAGTTTTGATAATGTATTAAAAACAGAAAAGGGATTTATATAACAGTATTTGGAAATTCCTTTTCTTTTCCATTTAATGTCCTTGTAGCAGGGTTTTCAATGAACAATTCTTTCATCGGCTAAAGTAAAACGACGGTCCACAGAAGATCAAAAAGGGAACAGGAAGTCTTCAGAATGGGTTATTTGCTTTCATCACCAGTACTTTTAACACTATATAAATGAAACTAAGTTGTAATTTGAGAGACAATGTGAAGAAGTTGTTGTTTTAATCTGAAATGGACAGATTCCCACTCTTTAAGGTATGTTTAATAATAAAGTCATTTTCTTTTCTTTACTACATTGTATGTGCAAGGATTGTCTACCACTTCCAAAAGAAAATGATTTTAGAACAGAGCGCTATGCTAATATATTGATACTATTTCATCAGATGTAACAGAAATTATCATTTATAAGACAATTAGTTAAGGATTTTCCAAGTTCTGGTCTACAGTTGAATTTTAGCCTGTAACTTCACTATGAACACTGACCAACTGAACTGCGTTGAAGTTGCGATAGTATACGAAAGTCTTAAAGCATGATTTACATTCTCAGACAAAAAAAAATTCCTTATCCCTCAAAAAGCATAAAAATTTGAGCCTAAGTTATTTAAAACTAATCAAATTTATTCTAACATACCATAAGAGCTTTTATGCAGCACCTCAAGCCTGAGGTTTTCCTTTCACAGACGCATCAACAGTTTAACTGAATGCATACTCTCACACTACTTAATGATTCTCAAGAAAGCTGACCTGTGAGCAAAGCCTTGAATTTACACTCTCAAACATTTATTTTGCAATGCAAATAGTTTTCCTGTTAGTGCAACTAGAGATATATAACCGGTCAGCACCAGGAGGGAGCAGGAAGTGCTTTGCCAGAAATCAGTCCAGCTCTCAGTCCAACTATCAGCCAGCCAGCATTGCTTTATTAGCAGTATTTTTAATGGAATGAAATTACTGACCCTTTAATTATAAAATAACTTGTGCAGGAATCTTACCTTCATGTAATAGGGGGATAGTTTAAGGTCACTTTATTAAGCACTTCAAAACAGGAATCAGGGGGTGCAGCAAGTCTCAGCTTTGCCTTTATACATACTGGCAGAGTTTATGATTCTCTTGGGAAATTCTCCACACATCTAATACAATTCCAATATTTGGATAAATACAGCATTTTACTTGATTTGCAAATAACAAACGGTAGATGTAAAATAAGAACACTGAAGAAGGGAAGAAAATTTCCCTCTAACAGTTTTGCAACATCTACCTTTCAGGGTTCCACATGCCTATGTTAATCCTGTGAAGATTCTTGAAATTTCTCAAGATTTAGCTCCTACACATCTTCCATGAATACTCTTTTAAAGGCATACAAAATACATCAAGCATCTGGCCTAAATTTGCATAAAGACGTACGGTTGTTGTCAATTTTTGCATCAGATGGAGAATAGCAATCTACAATTTTGGCCAAAAGAACTTCAAGAAACTCTCAGGACTGACAAATTTAAGATGCAGACAGAAACCTGGCAAAAGAAACACAAGGACTCACAGCTAAAATCCACTGACAACGTACACAAAGAAGCTGTGTTTTGATATTTAGTTACCAATAAAGACATGCTAGAAAATGGAAAAAAAAATTGAATGATAATTCAATGGACAAACGAATTGGGGATTCTGTGTAGCCAAGTCCAGTCTAATACTTGCTACAGGACTCACAAACATGTTGTTAAGTAAATGTCTGAACTTGAAATATCTCAGGTTTTCCTCAAAAAAGCAACTGGTTCTACTAGTATCAATACCCAGTACTTTTGTTGTTGTTGGGTGGTTTTTTTTTTTTTTAAGTAGGTTGCAGGAACATGAAGTTTAGCTTTCTGTAATGAGGAGCCCGGGTAGCTTATGAAAGAATTGCATGATGCAGTTGCTTGAAGTTGCACGAAACTCAACTCCACCCCTGCAGCCAAAACCACTCAAGTCCTTTCTAGTTCTATGATTTTACTTTTTAGTAGAAGTAGTCAACTTACTTCATATAGCAGTGTTTTGAAAAAACATTCATCTATGCAGTAAGATTCTAGTATGAAAGTGTGGGTAACATAGCATGATTGACTTTTGAAATGTTTCAATTAATCCAATTTTTATTCCTGAATTCTTCACTAAACCTACTTCAGCTGCTTCAGGTCTGTATATTAAAAGGTCAAATAAATATACTATTTTATTAGTGAAGATAACAGATTTAATTCCACGTTATACCTACAACCTAAAACAGTGTAACCACTTTTATTCAAACAACGTACCCGTTTTATGTCAAACTTAAGTCTTTATTGGATATAGACAAAGGCAATTTTTCAGTGTCATAAATGACTAGAAAAAGTAGTTACACAATATCCCCTTTAGGGACCCACTAAGAACATTACATCATATCATGTAGTACTTGGTGGGTAGCACTTCAAGTCTATAACCAAGTCTGACACATTCCTCATCTGGCTTCCCCTGAGCTCTCACTACCGTTAAATGAGTTGCTATATATGTTTTTAACGCAGCTGCAAGTGAAAAACTAGAACAGTTTCCTAAGCTATTTATGCGTTAAAATTAGAAAGAGAATTATTCTCAATTTCTTTTGCTTAAGATGCCTGTTTGACCTGGAAGTCTATCAAGTCAAAACCTTTCTGTAAGGTCTCTCCAACCTAAAGACTGAATCTTGGACCACAGAGTCCCAGTTTCTCTTCAACTTCTTCAGCAAGTTCAAAAAAACTTAAATACTAACAAGGACTTATCTTTGTGAAGCAAAAATGCCTTTCCAGAACAGTTCAGTGGTTATTAGTCTACTCATAATACAAGTCACCATGCACACCCTTCAGATTAGTAGGGCCAAGTCGCATAATTCATACCAGTAGCAGTAACTAGACCAATTTCCCATCTTTGCACTATTCCTACACCTGTCTGTCAGTCCTTAGGAGTCTGCAGGCTTCTGTGATGCCTTGCAGGCTACCTTGAAAAAAATCACTCTCTCACGTGTTTTTTCCCAGCTCAGTGATTCTTAGTCACTAGAAATCAATACACAAACTCTGGAAGTTCACCCTTGCAAATATGCCCTCAGTGGAGTAGCCACATATATCTTGCAGACAGCCATATGTTGTTTTAGCCCATGTCCTTTACCATTAGACAAAGGACTGCCCCACATCTTGTCCAAAAACTTTCAGAAATCAAAGGCAAGCTCCTTCTAGGCACCACGCACTTCCACCTTGCAAACACCTAAGAAAAGCTTCCAAATGTTTTCATTAAAGTGCATGAAAAATCCCAACTGGATTTTAAGAAGTTAAAGACCAACTCTTCTCAAATACATACCATCGTTAACTTTTCTACAGGAGTAGGTGCTGGACTTAGTTCACGGTGAGGAAGAAGGAATTTATCTGTCCTTTGGACATCCAGAATAAGCTGTGCAACATATTTTTCCTGAAATCGTGTCCTTTTCCCCAAAGCACCTACACAAAGTTAAAACAAGTTACTGACCACTATAAAACAGTAATCCCATCATATATCAGAAATTGCTTACGGAATGCAAAAGAAAGAAACATGCCGAGAATTAACCTGTAAGACTCAGGAGTGGTTTAACTTTGCTTGATCGGCTTGCAATGAAATACATGCTTCCTCACTGCTAGGTAGCACACATACATAAATAGATATTACAAATATATAAACAAACTTAAAGTTCGGAAAATTCTCCGTAACTTTCATATTGTCTCTTGAAAATCCATACTCATCACATTTTATCTGTTCTCAGTTTTAAAATACTAGTAATAAACTGAAAACAGTTGTTCAATTTGCCTGCTAAAAGAAAGTAATTCACAACAGGGAGACACTTAGGCAAATAAAAATCCCATGATACCTTAAAATGGGCAAACAGTTCAACAGTTTGAAAGCTTGAAACAGGTATTAATCTTAGAAAAAAATAACTTTTGAAGTTAAACTTCTGGGCATTTGCAGCTTTGACTGCTTCTGTGAAAGCTACAGATTTGTAGAACATTCAGAATATACGATCAGGATGGAAATATCCACAAAACCCCATTATTTTAATTTCTAGGGCTAAATCAGTTTGTAAGGTCAAGAGATAGATGCTTGAATCCTAAATGGCAGGGACGGAGAGAGGCGGAGAGGACAGAAGGAAAACAGGAGAGGAAAAAAGCCTTTAATTTTTCCTCACCTTTGCATCGCTTCCATACTCTTTTCCATCCCTTTCACCTGTATTTTATTACAATAACTAGATAGCCTGCACAAGTTTTTCTTAGGAAAACCTCTTTGCTCTGTGTTACTGCAGTTCACATGACTACTTTTAATGGACATGACATTTTCTAAAGTATACATTTTCGAAATTATGTTTTATAGCTATAGGCCATCATTTTAAATATTTCAGACCGTCTAGGGGTCACAGACATGCCATTGCCACAATCGAGCACAGAAGCTCCTGTGAAACTACCATGGGAGTGATGCAATAAACCAACACTGCCAGCCTACTGCAGTAATCAATACTCCAAATACACACTGCCAAAGTCCTCCCAGTTTTGTTTCTTCAGTTCTTTATTAGACACTCAGACAACTTCTACTAGCTTTTAGGATGGCAATTAATCAGGAGGACACCTACACCAAATTGAAAAGGAAAACATAGCTGCTCTTCCTCTGTTAGCAGCCTCTTTCCAAGCTGCAGTCAGAAATCACAGGGCAATTTCAGAACGGACACAGACTCCTAACCAGAGCCAAAAATGGAACGAAAAACTGCTCCATAACTTTTAGAGGTCTGCTTGCTTACTACTATGCAATGCCCAGGTAATGTGAACTGTGAAAGTTTAAACATAAAGAAAAGGAGGAGAACTGAACATTGACCCACTGTTGGTTTCGCAGAGCCAATGGAGATGAAACTCAAATGAACAGGCCTTAATTTCATTACAGCTTTGAAAATTTGCAGAGCATAAAAACTTTGAAGTAAAGACGATTAACTGCTCGTGTGCTTAGGGGATAAGGGCCAGAGGATGAGGCCACTGGCAGTAAGAGTCACCTGCCACAGATACAGAAATAGCAGACATCCACCCCTACCTCCCTTTTTTCCTGCAGGTAGAAAGAGGGCAGCAGGGAAACTAGTAACCACACTGATTTTTCCTCTTCTGCCCATCACCACTTTTAATGGGAGAGTCCTGTTTTAAGAGTTTATGAAGTGAAAAGGGTTTTAAAATATCACCTTATAATCACAAGACAATCTACAGAGAGAGTGAAGCACTGGGTGAGGAGGATTCATACTAATACGTACACAGTAGCACTTAATTCTCAGTTTTAATGATACTTGCAAGTCATTATGCTGAATTTACATCCTATAATGCCTTCCTGCTTAAACAGCTGAATAAAACACTTGCAAAGCTATGCTGGTACCAATAAACTATTAGCATTTTACTTACTACCTTCTAGAAATTGCCATTTGTTTATGTCTGAGACCTTCCTCATTTCTCTTTAGCAAGGAATCCTTTTGCTGATTACAGGGATAAAACAGACATTTTTCCATTAAAAAAAAAAAATCACGTGTACTCAAGATTGGAAAAAAAGTATTTGCTTCATACCATCATAAGTTCTCACAGAAGAGAGGGAGTCTGCTTATCCATAGAGATTTTTCTCTCTCCCCCATATGGAAAGTTCCCAGGGATGCCTTATCGGGCATGAAAACAATAAACAGACAATATGCAGATCTCAGTGTTCAGGATTATTAATCCTTGAGACCTGTTGATCTTTAATTTATTTAGGATTACCACCCTTCATTTTAGAAAATTTGTATGTAAGAAGGACCACAGCCATTTATTTTATTGGAAATTCTGCTGTGGAGTTATGGACAGTTGTGACTCATTGTGAGATCTATAGGGATGCTTTTTAATAAACGATGAATAATGTATAGATCTGAATATAGCACAGGCCTGAAAAAAACACAAGCCAAAACATCTGCAAGTTTAGTACTTGCATCTTCAAGTATGATTTAGTCACGCATTTCTAAAATAACTTTGGAAAACGTGGGTTCTAAATTCTCTCTTAAAAAACAGCATATTAAGTTCCACGCCTTAACAAAACATTCTGCTAGTACAGACTACAATCATTAAAGAACAATAACCTCTTAAAGTCCTCTCCTAAAAAGGAAATTCCTTCCAAAAGCCTTAAAAATATCTTTGCTAGAGGTTGCAGTTTTACATTAAAGCAAAGTCTTTCTTGATGATGTAACATTCTTTCTATTTAGCCAAAACATGCATGTCAAACGAGTTTGTCGAGAATGGCAACAATTCCCACATGTTCGGTTCACTTAATTTGCCTTCAGGTTAGACATCGTTCACAACTATTCTAATAGATTTATGGAGATAAACCAGAGAACTTTTAGGAGTTTCACAACAACATTTTTCTGAGACACCAGATTACAGCAGTCTCTCTCTGGGACCACCATAACCTCTTGGTAGAGTAATAAAAAATACAAATCCTTCCAGTGCATCCAAACTTATTTTTTCTATTGAACAGCAGCTTTCTTCTAGGTTAAGTTTAGGGAAATTAGTCATCAGAAATCCAAAAGTCTCTTTTAAAGAAAAAACGCACAAAGCTGTAAACTGAGAAATATCAATTAATAGTCACCTGCCACTTTGATTTTTACTTGTTCTCGATTTATTAAGTTTTTTCAGTTTAAGTATCATTAGCGGTAGTGGGTTAATTTTAAACAAAACAACTTGGGTTAATTTTAAACAAAAACACCTCATAATATCAATTTTGAAGTACACGTCACACGTTTAACATCAGCTTAGTTCAGAACACAACAATGTCACATCTCAGCTACTGCATTGGTTTCAAAAATGCATTTTTCAGACAAGCAAGACTACTTCAGTAAATTTTTGGTTATAAGTTGCTTAATTCTCAAAGGAAATTTGGAAATATGGTATCTCCAGAATTGGAGCATCTCACCCCTATTTGCATCAGAGACCATTTTGTTGATTAGTGTTCTACTAAAGTAGGAAAGAAGGGGTAGGATCAATTGAAATGCATGGAATTCATTCAAATATATGGAAATTACGCTAATCTCAAAAACCACTAAATATAAACAATTCAATCATAGTTACATGAAAGCATCCATTTTGCCACAAGATTTCCATTAAGGATTTTCCAAAGTTAACATTTAGAACTTTTGAATAAATGAGTATGGAGTACCAAAACAAGTCTAACATATTTTTATTAAAATATTAAACAAACTGATGAAATACGCAGGGGTAGCGGCAGCTCTAATCTAAACAGGAAAGACTGGCTAATCTTGTGAGATAAGGTGGTGTAATTGGTAAGGAGGCTTTAAATTTCAGTTCTTCAGTCCTAATCTGCTAATAAGTACATAGAAGAACCTTAACATAGGTTTTTGCATTTCTACCCAGACAGGACCGAAGTTCTCACATGGAAAAGCCGTGCATTTACATCATTTTGTTTACTCTTTTTTTTTTTTTTTTTTTAGAGAAGCAATTAGTGCATTCAGAAGCAGGACCAGGCTGGCAACCAAACAATCTGATATCTGTATGTATAATTTCAACAGAAATTACAAGTGCGGGAATCTAATCTGGCTGACTCCAAACAATTAATTCTTGCTTACGGCTGAAAGGATAAATATAAAGTCTATACTGTCACTGAATCCGTGATAGATCTATTTGTCAGAAATTTGACTTATCTCACTTATATCCTGTGATAAGAGCAGTCCTGAGAGTGACTTTTAAAAGCTATTCACATGGGGTAGATTTAAACCAGTGGCTCAAAAGGTGAAAGTCTGTATCAAATCCTCATGCAGACTTCCTTGCAAGTGTCTCAAAAGGAAAAAACTTATATTCATCACTACAGATTGTGACACCAGCTAGTTCCAGGAGTCCTTTAACGGAGCGAACTGCACCTAGAATTTAATAGACTACTGAAATATGACAAAGAAGGATCATAGCACGTGTGTTAAAGGATTACAGGTGCTCAGACACTCATATTAAGCGTGACACTGCCACTACATGGAATATTTATCTTGCTTCTTCCAAGTAATGCTAATTCTTAAAAGATGAATAAGTTGGAACTGTTCAAAGCGAAGAATTTTCAAAATATATTTCTTTTTTCTTGGCTATGTAAAAAAATAAAGCTACGAGTTAGTTAGGTCTAACCAACCATCTTCATAGACCTTGCAAGCAAAACTTACCTGTCAGACTGATCTGCAGTTTGGTTGTATCTTTAGCTGTACTGAAACATTGTTTAGCTTTTTTATACTCATAGTAATACAAAAACGTGTAGGCACACTCAAGATTGAACTGAACTTCTAAGTGCCAGCTTTCACCACCTGTGAACAAATTTTCCGCTTCTGTCACTGCAAATCAAAAAAAGAAAAAAGAGAAGCTATCAGGACACAACCCAGGAGAATATTTAAAACATACATACTTACTTAAAAAAACAGGACTGAAATACTGCTATGCTTAAGGCAGATCTGTTGTTCTTTACACATCTTATACACTGAGTGTGTGGTTTTAAAGATAAGCAACATTTTAAGTTGCATATCTAAGGACTACTACTAGGCTAAGAACAAAGGACAGTTTAATTCTCTCTTGCATTTTACTGTCAAGCTGAGCTGGGATATTACTGTTGTAGGAAATATAAAACAAGAATCATCTAGGACCTACTGAAGAATACAGGAACTTAGAAAACAGTGAGTAGAGGTAAAAAAAAAAAAAAAAATCCCTCCTTAATTAGCAGGCTTCAGATGAGAAAATTTGGCTAGTGAATTAAGCACTGAATGGGGAATTAGGACTCTAGTTCCGTTTTTAACAATTACTGGCTTGCTGAGCGATGATGACCACCTTCTCCATCTGAACAACAGGTAAAGAAATCTGAAGTCTCTAGGAAAAGATTTGATATTTTTTCATCTAGTGTAGAAGTATTCACATTCCTTATTTATTTCAATTCTATCTACCAAAACACAATAAATGACAAAAGAATATTCTGGTACAGTAAGAATCACAACACTCATTAATCATCAAAATGTTGCATTTCATTTAAGATTGGAAGCTAACAATAAGCTCGAACTTACTTCATACACAGCTATAAAAGAACCACATAAAGTATTACAATACTCTTTTTAAAAATTTACATGGATACCTCCCGCCAATTCTAAAAGAAATTTAACTTTTTTTTTCAACATCTGCATTGAAAGGTTTTGCTTGATGAAAGCAAATCAGTAATTTATAAATATTACTCCAATGGCTTTCAACTGAAATAGGACAGAAAATGCAGCAAGCTTATAACTTAATCCTTAGAAAAAATTCAAGGGACTGCAACTATTTAAGCACAAAGTTTGTGCAATTTAGTCACCACTTTTGACACAAAGACAACTTCAAACACATTATTTCAAGACTGAGAAAGTTAGCTGAATAGTAATCTCACATCTAGGTAATGCACGCTCTCCATGTACAAGCCATCTGAGGTGTTTCATACTTTTGTTCATACTTACGAAATAAGTTTTCTTTTTTAAAAGAGAATGATTCACATAAGACCACAAAGCAATGGAATTTCTAGTAAAAGCTATTTTACTCTTTTTCTAAAAAACACTTCCAATAAGTGATTTGGGACGTCTGTCCTATTTGCCAGCTTTCCATACTCTGCGTGCGCATAATGCTGCTCTGACGGCTTCCCAAATGACAAAAATCACGTTTACATGAGAAAAAATTAGTTTTCTGTGAGGCTGCACACAAAAACTCACCCATGGTTTTACGCCAAACACAGATACACATTTGCATGGATTCCTTAGAGCAGTTTGAGGTACTAAACACTGAAGGGCTGCTGTCAGCGCAGTGAAGCCTACAAGGCACTGAACATGCAGGCACACAAGTGGAAACCTGACAAGAATGCAACTTTCTGATCAAGCAATTTTCATTCAATTTCAAAGAAAAAAGAAAAAACAGGTTATGCTCTATAATTGTAAGTTACTTCCTGGTTTCTCAATCGCTGAAAAGTTACAGTGATCTGAGTATAAAACTATTTACAATAAAATCATGTGCCAAAACCATACATGCTCCTACAGTGATGAACCAAAGAAGCGTATAAATCCTTTCTTTTTGATTAATCATCTTTTGAAACATTCACTACGGTTGGTTTGACAATTAAACCCCAAATTTTCTTAGAGTAATAAATCTATAAACGTACCAATTGTTTAACTTACTTGGTTTAAAAACATTCACAATATTGTTCTAGAGCGACGCACTGCGTTGCAGTCTTACTACTCCCCATCTGGCTGTCTTTTCCTTGCGATGCTAGTTGCAAGACTTGGTAAGTTTAGACACTGGAGCCTTAATACTCTAAAGACCTTTGTGGAAAGTTTCCCGTTGTTGCTAGTATCAGTTTGGCTGCACGGGAGTCCTGATGTCGCTGCCAGGCAGCCCTCTGGCACCCTGTGCCGTGTTTGGTGAGGGGCCCTGAGGAACGGGAGATGGCAGGAAGCCCTGGTTTTGCCGTACACCAGCTGCTTGAGAGCAGCGGCGCAGCCCTGCAGCTCTCATAGTCGGGCGGTGACGCTGACCATTACCCTCAAAACCAACATATTAAAAATGGAGAAGCTAATCTCTCCTGAACGTTAACGTCCTGTCCTCCAGTAATTCAGACAAAATTTCCCAGTTGATTGGAAGCAGAACAAGCACGCAGGTTTTTCAAGGCCTAATCAAAGACCATTTTAATCGTTTATTAAGTATTTATTTTAAGAGATGTAAAGGTATCTGTTCAAAATTCCAGATGGCTTAAATAAATTAGAAAGTAAATAAACGATTAGAGCAGTTAGTGTAACTCGCCTGGCAAAGCTTACTACAGCTCTAAGTATACATTACATCACCTTCTCTGGAAACTATACCCAAGGTTCTCAAAATAGGTCACTCAAAACACGCAGCTTTATTCGTATTTAGTATTGGTGCATATGCAGCAAAAGAATAATACATCTCCTTAACTCCGCATCTGAAAGAAGCACACCAAAATCCCTCGTTTCATAATATAAAATTCATAGATATTTTTATGAAACTATTTAGAAAATATAAATTCTAAAAGCCCTGTACAACCCGACACACAAATATTCACGTGTTGAAACATTAAAAGTAAGCAACAGCAATTCTGTCCGATAAAACTCATTTACAACCATCAAATCAAGCAAAATAATCCTCTCAAACAGCTAACCATCTACTCAAATCTCCATTTCTGAAATGGCTTTGAGAAGTAGGCTTTATAACATACCTTCAAAGCCATATTTTAAGGAATTTCTATTGTTAATGCAAGCAGTTAAATGAGTTAAATTTGTAAAACTCATCCCACTAGATTGACGTGACAACCATTTTTTAAGTAAAACTCAATTTGCTACAAATTATTTTGGAAATTTAAATGCATCTTAAATTTGCTTGTTTGCACCAGCTAAATTCCAGCCCGCACCCCCAGCCCTTAGCCTAAAAAGTAACATGCCAATTAATTTAACCTGATGTGCTTAAGTAACATCTATCAGTTATGTTCTAATACATGCAACAAATCAACAACGCTCCCACCATTCTAAGGACTACAAATTTTGAAGTTAGACTAAAGAATTTAAGAATTCTGTCTTAGAATTTGGTATGTCCCATACCAATATAAGACGGTATGGCTTTATTCCAGAAATTCATTCAAAATTTTCTAATGAAGTATAAATAATACAAGAACTACAGGTTAGATCAATCACAACAAAACCCTTCCACAGCCAGTTCTTATAGCATCCAGAAAGAGCATTAGGTCTGTTGCTTTTTTACTGCAAAGGATCCAATGAAATCCTCTTCACAGTTTCATTACCGTACTAACTATGTCTTTGCTACCTAGCTGGAAGTTCCTCAAGGACCAAAAAAACACTTCCTGTTTGGAAATTATGTGCAATCCTTGAACCTGCGGATGGTTCAGATCAAAAAAGCTCTTTCATTAAGGTGGGGTAGGAGAGGGGAGACTTGAAACTTTGGCATTTAAGATGATCTGTCTTCTTTTGCCAAAGATGACAGATCATAATTCATTTCTAAATGCAAAATAGAATTTATTAAAAGTACTTAACTTTCGGCTTGTGAAATTAAATAATCTTCAGCTAACAAATCAACTGACGAGGGACCAACGTGCATAAAAGTTGTCTGCTTTTCAGCTTTATCAGTTGCTGTAGCAAATGATCTAGACTAGTCTATAGAAATAAGGTTTGTTCCTCTTAAAACAAAAATCCCAAGCAATGCAATTACATTTGACGTTTTAATGTTCTAAATTACACTTTCATGAACATCAATATTTATTTCATAATTTAATGTTATCTATTTTCTCAACGTACAGCTCAGAGAGGTAACAAATCTCAAAATTTAGGTGGAGATAGAACAGGAAAAAAAGTTAATCTCCCTCATAAAGATGCAAAAGAGCAGGGACATTCACCTTTCAAACCCAAATAAGATCAGTAAATGAAAAATGAAAACTGCACAAAATGCCTGCAGGTTAGCTTGTGATAAGCTAACAGTGATATGCATGGTGGGGGGAATCTTTGTCTGCAATCAGATATTCCTGGCTTGCATCCTCAGAAATAGCATGTGCCACACAAATCCATCTCAATTTAAATGAATTCCTTTTCTGCTCTGCAGTTCCATAAGGACCTGATAAGCTTCATGTTGCAAGAGTTGTGCCTAAAAACTTCCTTCCCTGAAGATATCCAACAGCTGGTGCTGTAGGCCAGCAAATAGAGTAACTAGAAACATACCTTGTTTTATACAGTCCTGGGCAAGAGAGAATAGCTATGGTGACGGCTCTTCTAACAACTGCTGGTGAATATTCACGCACCTTAGAGTCCACCAAGACAAAGTCTGAAAGAAAGCAACGATATTTTAAGTGAATAACAAATACTGATGCCAAAAAAAAAAAAAAAAGAAAGAAAGAGAGAAGTGGTTTTTAAAATACAGGTTTTACATAAAATATAAAACCAGCTACAGCAGTCAGTTTATATAAAAAGTGTGCTTTAATTTAGCATAAAGGTGAGCATATTTGAGCAGCTCTGCTGTGCTCCAACAGAGCTTGACAGGCTCTTCTGTTAATTTCTCTAGTTGTTCTCTGAACCCTGCAAACCCTTAGGACCACAACCTGCACAGGTAGAAAATTCTATACATAGCAGATAAAAGAAATACCTGTGTGTTTGTTCTGGACCAGCCACTTGCTACTCTCCTAATTCTTCTAACAGAAAGCAAAAAACAAAACAAAACAAAACAAAACAACAAACTGATCCTTACTTTCCATTTTTCTTGTCACATTGATGGTTTTAATAGGCAGCCATCATCTCTCACTTTTCAGTTGCCTTTCCAGACTGAGGAGTCCTACAGACCTCAGTTACTGTTTGTATGGAAGCCATTCTGTATCTCTGATCATCCAGTGTTGTCCTTCTGTACACTTTTTCCTGTTCTATTTAATCTTTTCGGATGTCTTCAGGTAAGGGTACAAGGAAGACTGAGACAGGTGAAAGAGGACCAGAACTGCTCACAGTACTTAATATGTTGACACAGCATGCATGTATACAGACTTCTATATGCCACTCTTCTGGTCTTCAGTCCTTTAATTACGATTTTAATTATAATTTAAATTTTGATTATAATTTAATAATCTCCTTTAATAGTTTAATAATTCCTACCATTTACTTTCACTGACTGCTGTTAAATATTAAGCTGATGTTTCTACAGGTTTAGTGTAACTCTAGATCTCTTTTCTGATTAGTAATGGGTTCAGAGTCTGTCACTACGCAATGTTTTCCCCGCATATATCACTGCGTACACTAAATTTCATTTGCCATTGTATTGCCTCTTACAGGAGGGATTAAGATGCACGCACACATTCTGGTCAGATGACTGCTCTGAAGCAACAATAAAAGGCACATACAGGGTCAGTAACGTCTTGAACTGTCCCTGCAGTCTGCTCAGAAATTTCCGTCAGAGCTTTTACCTGGACTGATGAGTTAAGTGACATTCTCCCTTTCTTCTCTGTTTTAAAGGATATAGTCTTGTGAAACCTGTCCATTAAGCAGACAACTACCTTTAAGTCATTTTGAAAGAAACTGTTAGCTTATCTTTTTTGTTTGCAGAGTGCATTTTCTTCTTGGACTGGAAATCACAGTGAAAAGTCTCTCTATAAAGTATGTAATTGAACCAAGAGCTTCCTTTTTACAGTGCAGATGTGCTCCAGACTCAGCAGTCACCTATATTCCTGGAACCTAACTCTTTCTTTCCATCTTTCTTCTCTTTTATATTTTGATTCTTTTTCTTCAACTTCAATAACTGTTTACTGATTAGAATGACCATAAAAGCTTTCACAACTTTTTTGTTCATAAAAGCCTAACTCCATAAATGTACCTTCTCATGATGAACAGCCTAGAATATTTCTCTCTCTCTGTAAGTCTTACCCACTAGAACTTGTAATACAACGAGCCATAACATAGGGATGAACACGTTGGTACTAGAACTTTGCAGTACTGAACTGCCCAGTTACAGGCCTGGGCCACCCAACAGCTCTTTTCTGAGTGAACAGGAAGTTCCTCCAACGTCTTGCATCAGCCCATTCACTCCAGATAATGGTAAGTGTTCATAATTTGAAACTGGACCAGTATCCGCTCTCCCGTCTTCTAATTGCATCCTTTTTGAAGGACAGTGACAACCAAATTCCAAATTGAGAATATCTGCAATTACACTAGACTCTGCAAGCAACGATCCTTTCTATATGTTTCTAAGCCAGATGCCCTAGTGACAGTAAGTCTTTCTCTTAGAGTTAACTGGTTTCAAAGGAAGTATTTTCTCATTTCAATTAAAATCTGAATGCAGTTTTGTTAACTTTCAAACAACTTACTCAGGAGAACACCTTACAATCATAATAGAAAGCATTAATGTTTGTATGTGAAATCTGAGCTGGGCAAATACGTTACCGGGCTAAGTAATCATTCCAGAGCAGAGAGCACAGCTCAAAAAATACCCGATTTTAGAAAGCTGTGTACACAAAAGATAAGTCCCCCAGCATATCTTATCCCTCTTTAACTGCACCAGATGGATATGCATGGAAAACCTAACCGAAAATGTAATATTCTTTTCATAAAATTACACTTAAGATTATCATCTGTGAATGTAGGGAATACATCTACACAGGCTCTAATGCTTACCAGTTTTGCTGCTTCTGTTAGGATTCTAATCATTTTCTATGAAACAAATGTTAGAGCATTGCTGAGATAGAGCTATCTTCCAAACTTTTTATACAAGTTATGTTTATATCACTCAGACCAAACGATAGAACAGTATGCAAGCAAAAACATCAAAATCAATCAGATGTAGTTGACTGTAATGTCCCTAGAAAGAAGCTATCAAAAAGAATAATAATATCTATTTCAAAAAGCAATGCAGGATGACTTTTGCTATCGAGCTGAACAGAGCAAAGGCAAACAAACAAGAGACTTTGTGAAAAAGGTTAAATCACAATATTTCATCACTTATTTAGAAACCCAAAGGCAAGCTACGTAAGAAGTTTCAAACAACTTTAGTTAACATTATATAATGAAGTATTTTTTTTCCCATGCAGGTGAATATCTAGCTCAATGATACAATTTCCTAGGGCCCGAAGCTTGCCACTCAAAAATCGTAGAACTAGAGGCTACATATTTACAAAGTTCTTTTTCTTCATATTTATAAATTTCTGTAATAAGTTATAAGAGAACTTATTTATAAAGTAAATCAGTTGAGCTCTGTATAATGTTTTATTACCAGAGGTAGCTTTTTGGGAACCAAGTTAAGAATTGTCTTTTCAATAATTTTCAAGTATTTAATCTTCCATATATAACAGCATTTGTGAATAACACAGGGCTTTATCAATGTTCTAGATGACAGATTTCAGAGTATTTTATCCTATTCTACATTGCTTTACACTAATCTTCAGTAAGCAGCAAAGCGTTATGAGACTTCCCTTTGAATCAAGTTGAAATCAAAAAGAACGGCAACCTTTTATCATTACGTTGACCTGTTGATGAAAGTAGTTTTTATCATTTGCTGCCTTTGAACTACTACCAAAACTTGGTATAGCCCTAAGTAATCGAACCGCCACTGGGCAGAAGGCAGCCCCAATAATGCCAGGCTGAGGGGAGGTAGCAAGGGACTTCTCTATACTAGGTACATTTTCTGACTCCCTGACTGACCCAGTTGCTGGAATTCAGCAGCATTCATCTGTGAATAACAGGGAAAAGGATGGGAGAGCTCAGCTTCCAGACATGCAGTACAGCCAACATCTCCCACACAGTTTAATTCAGCCCCCATACAAAGACCCAGCTGGGAATGGATATTGTCAGCCAAGCATAAAGGGGGACCATGTGGCATTTTGATCTTCAGCCAAAGTCTGTTTAACTGGAATGTAACAGAGAGAAGTTGCTCTGTTAAGAGTCTTCCAGTCCTGAAAAGTCCCTCTACCAACCAGCCTTCTGCTAATCTATAAAGGAGGTAAAGGCAAAAACCCTCTCAAGAGACGACTCATACCTCCCTCTTTTACATGAACAAACGCAGCAGAGAATTAAGGTAGTCTCTACATAAATGCCTGCAGGAGGGGGCAGAAGATGATAAAAGCAAAAGAAAGGACTTTCTTGGCATCTAGAATTCATGGCTCGGAGAATTCATACAGCAGTGTTCAGTGGTATCCCAAAGCTTGTGAAAAAGGTTATAGTATACGTATATTGCATAACATTATAGGGCATTTATGTTTTTTTTAATATATATAATGTCACAAACCGTCCATCTTTTAAAAAGTTGCTTTCTTTTTAATTGTCTTCATTTTTGCACATAATGAAGGCATCTTCCTTCTCTTTTAAAGGAAGGCGGTGAGAAAATACTTTATCTTTAAGAAAAAAGATACTTATGTTTAAATGTAATCGCTGGCTGAAACTGTTTGTTTGAGGAAGTAACTGCAGAGCTGGGAAAAGAAATGGAAGGGGAGGTAGTCTGACTCAAATGAGGTACGGAAAAAAAAGAAAAAAAAAAAGAATGAGAGAACCAGTGAGTACCTGGCAACCACAATGATTAGTCACATTTCTTACCTGAACAGATGCAAGTTTGTGTCTTGCTTTCACAAGGATTATCCTGGCTATAAGCAACAAGATAGGGTGAGAAGTCAAGGTATAGACTGATTCACCATCTAGGAGCAGTGTCTTCAGAATAGCTGTATGCAGCATTTTTGGCTGAAAGAAGAATGAAAAAAATCGAGAAGTTATAGGAAACGTAAAGTTTTTAAACAAATCATATAACACAGAATTAGGAAAAAAAGACAACCATTCACTTATTTAAGGAGAAAGTCTGCTCAAAAAGTTAAAAAATGATTGTATCGCAGGGTCCCAACCCTTTACCAAGTCATGCTAAATTCTGCTTTATCTCTTGCTGGCCAGATACCCCATACCAACATGACCCAAAAGACCCTGTCGTTCCTGCTACCTGAAATGCATACGTCCAGTCGACTTTATCCCCACTAATTACATTTCAGTACTATCATCATTCCCATGATGTAAGGACAAAAGTTTCTGATAAAACCTTGCCATTCAACCTGTCATCACAAAAATAAAATAATTAATGTATAACTCTAGGATGCTCAAATGCACTACATATTCCTGCAGTGAAGTCAGTATGTGTTATTTTTCCCTTCCTCCAGAGGGAGCTCTCTGTTCGAGTGGCATCAGTCTGCACTGATTAGAGTGCAGCAGTATTAGAGTCATTCTTCCCTTTGTCCAAAAAATACAAGCCCCTGTGGGATGCGTGGGATGCGGTCCCGTATGATTTTCCCTACGGGAACTCTTTTACTTAATGGGTTGAGGTAGCTCTCCAGGGAATCTGTCTCTCAGTGGTGACTGTCAGATGACAGACACCTCTTCTTCTCTCCCTTTTAATGTAAGGAAAGCATTCAAGCAGTTTACTTCAGACTCGGGCAGATGTCAGTTCATCAGTTTATTCCCAGTTCTCATATGGCAGGTTTCCTTTGCAGGCTACAAAAAGTAGGGCTTTTGTTTCCAGTTGGTTTAAGAAGAGCAGGAGACGGAAAGGAAAAGGAGGAGGAAAAAGCAAAGGTTAAATAACAGCTTGCACTGAATGTACTTCCCTTATCCAGCCTAGGCAACCAGGACAGAATTTATTTGAACCGCACTCAGCTTTTTAAAACTAAACTGATAACACAATTCCTAAATTCTTTGAAATTCTTTTCAACACCTTTACCAAAAGATTACATCAAAGAGAATAGTAAAGTCACATTATTCTCCTAGTTCACTTTTTAATGACCACTGTTTCTCTTTACAGCAAACGTCAGGCTTTTTCTGATTTGCTTAGGTTTGTTACTTTTTTGCCATTTACTAACGTTTAAAAAAATTCTGCTTTGTAGACAATGATTCATGACTTTGAATTATCTACCCAAAGTGCAATCTTTTCATGACATCACTGCAGTCACTTCAATCCTACCACGAAAAACACAATTCATAATACTCTGATGAACCACTTGGGAATAAAGGAAAGAAATTGTCAGTCAGAAGTACACCAGCTCCCTGCCACCTCTAGTTATCCTTAAAGGAACAGCCTTACCAACATCTCTAACTGCTCTGATTCGGAGAAGAAAAGTCCTGGCTCAGCACTACTACGGATTCATTCTGAAGACACAGGCACACACACAAATGAGGCTTCATATAATTTCCAGTTTAAGTTAAACTTGTTTCCCTCTACTCCTTTGTGATTCTCTCTACAGTCAAATGAAGTCACATACGAAAATGCAAAGGGCATACTCAGTTGGAAAGCTTATAGCAAAGAAGCTGTAAGCTTTGTTTTATAACCATTTCATAAAACTGGCTTGATAGGCTACAGCAGTCTACAATCATTTAAGCGCTGTAACAAACAATTAGTCACAAATTCACGTTTCAAGGCTATTCCCTGGAAAGCTCTGTCAAACTAAGGTAACATGACAAGGAATACTACCTAGGAGGGAGAGAAGATGACATGTCACAGACTTGACAAGAAGCCAACAGGTCTCAAAGCCATAAAATCTTCTATTTTAATAAATCCATGTTCTTCCCCATGAAGCAAATACCATACAAGGAATCAAACATCCTTCTCTCGAAGCTGAGAAAGCCTAAATCAGCATTCATCCATCTAATTTCTGCCCTCAGACTACATTATCAGTTCAGACACTACCAACAGAACCTACTGTCCTAAGGTAGCCTTTCAAGTGAGACAACAGCTACATATAAGAGAGGCAGACATTTAAGCTTTTAAAACTTCAAAGGCTGAAAAGTCAGGATTCAAGTCCACAAAATTCTAAAACGTTGGCCAAGAGTAAAAAGAAATCTTGAGCCTGTGTCCTCGTGTTTGCATACTTAGGATAGACACTTTCAATATTTATTTCACAATCATAAGAATTAGACACTTTTCGAAATTTTTTAAGGACCAATCTCAATTAAGAACATATAGAAAAAGCAGGCTTTCAAAAAAAAATAAAGAAAAGCACTGCAGAAGTTATAAGATCAACAACATGGTTACAAGCACCGTTCAGTGAGGTAGAGTTAAGAGACTTTCACGTTTTAGGATAGAAATTGGCCACCAGCTGATAGAAGCTAAAAAGTCTCGGGAGTAGAACAGCAAATTGCCACAGATTTTCTTTTCTCTGAAATACCTCAAAGTAGTTATCCTGGTGGGAGGGCTCTGCACCAGATAGCGACTGCTCTGAGCTGGCCTTTCTCATGTTCCATCAGAACTCCATGCTAGGGAATCCTTTCCTGTATCTTGGAAAAGTAGTAATACGACACGCAGATGGAGAAAAATCTAGATTAAATGACTTTGGGTAGGAAGTAGGGAGGGGATGGAAGACTTTGGTTCCCTAGACTAACAGAGCTATGCTCTTATCTATAAAGTACATACTGATCATATAAATTAATACACCCTCTTCCCACCCCAAGCACATTTTAGAAAAAATTTAAACATAGTAAAATTGAATCAGGAAGGAACATTATCAGAGCAAGTCTAAAGCACAATGGTGAAAAATGAACTTTGGATTTGGGCAGGGGGTAGGGGACACAATACAGATAAAAATGGAAGACACAGGCATTCAGGTATGAAACTTGGTCCTTCGCTCTAGACTTTTCCTTCTAGACTGACTTATTTGGGGGATGGGAAAAACAAGTTTTTGTTTGCAACTGCTTCTCTCTCCAACTTTCTGCAAAGGAGATAATGAGATTACAGTGGAGAACGTTCTCAGTTTCATCACTCAAACCAACAGCGGGTCAGTAGTGTAGAACCGAGTTGCAGACTGCATAGATAATCAAGGTGAACTGGCGTAAGCAGCCCCTCCCGAGAGTGCAACGCATGGAAATGTTTAGCTATGAATGCTCTTGTCATGCTCCCTACGAGGCCTGACTCTACACCATTTTTAAGGGAGTAGTTTCCAAGTGGCCTCACTAAGAACGTCCTTTCTCTTACATACGTATAGCAAGGGAATCTAGAATCAGCAAATTGGCTCTGCTTACAAGGCTCTGCCTCCACAGTTAGGTTGTCATCCCTCTTATGCACCCCACAAGAGGGAGAAATTTGAAGAACCTTCAGATCCTTCATCTTGCTGGTGACTACTATCCAAAGAGCACATCAGCGAGCCTAAGATGAAACTCTTTCTTCTTTCTGGCCAGTTTATGCTAATGGAAGGCCAAGCATATGGGTCTAGGGAAAGAAGAGAAGACATTTCCAAAGGTTTAAGGTAACAAGACCAAGGAATCGTGATGGATTTGAGACAGCAGTGCTACATAGTACATTGGGTTTTTCCTATGAATTATGAACAGGGCTATCAGTATCAACGGAAGTATGGTAATACATCAGTCTCTTTCAGCAAAAGGATGAATCCGTACATAAAAGAAGCAGCAATAAAAACAAATGGAAAAGGAATTATTCAAATGTGTTCTAAAACTCATTATTTGGAACCAACCAGAAAGTTAAAAAAAAGACCAGTAGGAGTAGCTGACACATGTATTTGGAGAATTCCTAGGAGTTATTTACATGCGCTATCAATTAACCCATTGGGATTTTCTTTCAGATGATGCTTCTAGCTGTTACTAAGTATATCATACTTGTTTTACCAGGTTTTTTTAAAGAAACAGTAGCATCTTTGGCCATGAAGAATATGAAATCAGCTGATGAGCAATTAAAGCAGCTCAGTGGTCACAACACTGTTACAGTCCTTGGTGGTCTTAATCTCACTACACAGTTCTGCCCAGTTCATCTACTGAAAATACTAAACTCAACTGTCTGAGTTAATTTTCAGCAACTTCTTGGAAACTTAAGGCAGGATAAACTTGCCCCAACTTGAATAGTTTGTATCATTTAGTCCCTTAAGTGCAGAGAGACAGTTAACAGTTCTTTAATACGCAAGAAGCCTACTTTTATATTCCACTCATTTTAAACCTTTAGCTCATTAGAAATGTATTGACCCAACCCCAGCAAATTCAAAGCTCACATTGACGTTACATTTTAATTTAAACACAGACTTTTTTTTTTAAATCTTGCTTTAACACAAGTCACTTACCATATAAAACTCAGGGCAGTATCAGTTAGACTATTTAATCAGTATGGTAAATTCTGAAATTATTAAAAAAAAAAAAAAAAAAGACACCTAAGTACTAAAATACTAAAATGCTAACTGCTTTTCTGTTTAGAAATTGCAGAACTATTTTTGTGCATGGACTCTTAAGGAGAAAAGCACGATCCAGTTCTGCAGAACATTTTAAAAAATCCTAACGGAGTACATGAATTTAACCATAACCTAAAGATAAGGCTGGAATCAATTTGGGGGATGGGAAATAATGTACACATACTCATGAATATTGTTAATGGAAGACATCCAAGAGGCCCCTACCAGCAACTCATCTAAAATAGGCTATTTCATGACTCGTTCTTTCGCTGAAATTAATTACAGTCTCATGCAGTCTTAATGCACCCATAAGAAAGTAAAATTAATGATGCGTTCAGAAGTTGTCTGGGAGCAGAAACGAACTTCTGCCACTGACCCAGAGTTGAAACTTTGGGAGGGACAGAGATGGCAGATGTTACATAGCCTGAAAAGGCATGAAGTTAAGAGACATCCAATAAAGGGTTCTGAAAATAAGAATAACAGTTTTGAAAATAGTCCTGAAATGAAAGAGACATCAGACTGGGAAGGCTGAAGGTTAATAGTATTATTTAGAGCAGGCTAAGAGAAGCATGCTTTGTGAAGCCATAATTTTTTAACCTTGACATGAGAAGAAGTCCATTTTAGTCTGAAAACCTAAAAAATGGAAGATAGATTAAAAAAAAGGAAGTGTACCAGTCTTCATGACAGAACATGGAAGATTACAGCTGAGATGGAGAAAAATAGAGCTGTATTTTTAACCTAACTTTTCTTAAGGTCTGGGCATGCAAGAGAGGAAAGGTAGATTAATGGAAGTGTAAAAATGACCATTTACTGAGATGTTCATTTTTATGGAGTGTTTATACTAAGAACCCTTGGAAAGAAAAGAACATACATAAAGATAATTCAAAACATATGAAAACTTTTGAATTAGGATGTTTAATAAAGAAGAGAACTGGATATTATATTTCATCACATAACTGTTTAGTTCGCTTGGGAAAAAACCATTAACTTACACGAACATAGCAATAATATATATAATGCCAAACTTCTTTTGCCTGAATGCATAAACAGCTATATTTTGCAGAAATATAAAAGTCTGATGCAGCACTTTGGAGAAGTCAAGTATGCTCAAGTCTGTTTCTCTTTATCTTTTCTTGCCAACTTATTTGCTGGAATACCACCTCTGTGTAAGCAAACATCCATCAATGCATTACATTCACAATCATACAAGAAACTAAAGAAGACACATGTATTCTCTCCTTCAACAGGCAATTAGTATCTCATTCTTCCATTAAGATGGACAATAAACAGGATGGATGACATAAGTTATGAACATTGAATTTTACTAGTCTAGAAACTCTGTCAATGATAGCAATTCTATGACTATCATAATAGGCTGCAGGTTAAAATGTAGCTTGTGCATATACACTAACATAGAATATTAGGGTTTTTCAGTAAACAGCACCCAGAGAAGTCAGGAGAATGGAAGAAATGAGTTTGTCTCACTTTTTCATAAAGGCAAACTGAAAACGCTTTCCCCTCAGAAAGAACACACTTTCAAATTTCTGCTAACTCATTTCTCATTCTCAAAGATTTAGCACACTTGGCTTCCAGAATTATTTCTCATTAAGTCATTAGGAGAGTAGATTTGAACTTCTAACGTCAAAAATTAAGCAAAAAATAAGGCCCATTCGTATCACACCAGCTCTAAAAGATATACCAAACTGATAAACATCTATTTTAAAAAAATGGGATAGATATTGTACCTAAATTAAAGTCATCTAGAAATACAAACTCGCAAATGAAACTAGGGCAGGACTTGATGAGTTACGGCACTCCTGTAAAAACATGCCACGATAATGCAACACAGATCCACAAGTTTTATGTGAAACTTGTCACATACTTGTCAAACCTGCTCTCGTTCCACAATTTACAGCATTTACATCGCTCATGGTCCACACCTGATTCACAATGAAATTCTACATTCAAAGCAAGTCATGTGTAGATTTAATATTAGCAGAGAATAGTGAAGTATAAACGAACTGGCAGAGGTAAACCAGTATGTTGTTCACTCTACAACACGGAGGTTTCAGGTAAAGCTAACTAACAAAAACCCCTGAACACTAATAGCTCAAGATTCATCTTAATCAGGGGTAAATTCAAAATTGTATTGGCAGGGGTTTAAAGACTGGTTAAATTTTTCAACCTGCTGTTTTATATCTAAACAATGTAGCATAGTTATCACTACTTCCAGTTCATAGAGTCTATATTTAACAATATTCTCAGTTATTAATCTGTATTAACAGCAAGTAGTTTCTGATTTCAGCTGTCAAAAAAATCCTTTATGTTAAATAATACGTAACAAATTAGCACATACAAGTGACAAAGGATAAGCAGATTGGTTCTTTGTTACTAAACGGAAGCTACCAAAAGAAAAGCAAAAAAGCCCCAAAAACATGAAAACAAAAAACATAAAAAGCTCATCTTTTTTGAGAATGATGAGAAGATTCATGCTTTCCAAAGGGAGAAAGAAGGAAAAGAACTGTCCAGAAGGTAACATGAAATGGCAATATTTAGGAGGCTGTCTCAATAAAAAAAGGGAAGGGGGGGCGGAATTTTTCAGACTAGCTTTTAACTATTGGAAAGTTGCATTTCTAGATGGCCCATCCAACCTGTATTTGTTTAAACCCAAAATCAGTGATGTTTTTGGAAGAGAGACAGAAGAACGTATCTTCAAAAGCAAATACATTGTATCACATTCCCACTTAAGTATAGAAGAAAAAGTAATTGGAGTTATCCTCTAGCCCCCTCCCTGATATATTGCAGTAGTCAGTATCTTATTATAGCTTTAATCCCAAGCGAAAATTAATACTGAAAAAGCTGTGATGAACCACAGATACAGGAGCATCAGACATGCTTTGAAGCATGCTACTGTCATGAGAAACCATACACATATCTCACTAACACAACTGCAAAAAGTTACAGGGTTGACTAGTTATGTATGTAAAAAGATGCCAACGCAAATAAAACTGACACCCCTCAGTTTCAACTCCTGCATTCCCCTCCACTTTCAGAAGTGCTATTTGTCTTAGTGATTTCATACTAATAACGACGCCATTCACATCGCATCATCCATGAGCCTGACAGGACGCTGAGCAAGCAAATCTCCTGTTCTCTTAATGTCTGCCAGTTATTCTGCTATTTGCAAGATGCCCAGCTTCTACCTCTGTCTCCAGGAGGGAAAAATTTCTAAGCCACGTATAAATATCTTTCTTTGATCCAGCTAAGAATACACCTCAAAATAAAATAAATAAAAAGTTTACTGACTGCAAATGCCCTTTCAGCAAATGCTGCCGTGCAATAAACTTATCTTCCCCATCCAAACCCAACACTTCCAGTACGAAATCTCTTAAACAGCGAAGGCAAATACAGTAACTGCTTTTAGGATAGTGCATAAAAAGCTGACGATATAGCTGCCCCAATAGCAGCCAGTAGCACTCAACGACTAAGGCAATTCATTCCCACCCTATGTCTCATAGACGTGTCTTTTCTGGATAAATGGGTTTTTCGTGACTAGAATAGCAGTGACTATAAAAAGACAGCTTATTAAATACCTCACAGAATTTCTGTAACAATGCAGATGGCAAAAAGTCCTGAGGCTGTAACTGCACAGGAGGCCCAGTCCAATTGCTTTGAACAAAGAGCTGCAAACTGCCCACACCGAGTAGAAACACCAGCCTCTGCCTGCAATGTAGATAAGAAAAGCAATTAACAACAGATTAAAATTTTAATTAAGACTACAAAATCTGGTCAATTATCACACTAATTCAAAACTCTCAGTCTTAAAAATCACCCTCTCACAATAATGAACCTAGTACTCAAGAAAGCAGAGCCATGTGAAAAACTAAAAGGTTTGGAAATATATTTGGTTATGCAGAATGCTTATAACTAATGACAACACTTTGGAAACAGAAACAAATCATAGGCTTCAGAATTCAAGCCTGTATCTAACTAGCAGAGATCACCAGGAGATTAGTATAGGAGGCAAATGGTCCCATAATTGCCTGTTGCACTGTTGTTATGTTTTCCTGTGACGCATCCTTTCCTCAGCATGGTCAGAGGAAGATCATCGCATTATTGTATGTTCCAAATTACCATGCTTATTTCTGTTTTGACACAGCAGTTCACTTTCACTCCCTGTGAGAATAAAGCAACTAAGCTAACCTAAAAGTTCTGAAGTACCACCTCAGACTTGCTTCAGATACTTTGATGACAGTTATCTCATTCAATCACGCTTTTTAATCTAAAACACGCTTTATTTATTTTTTCAAAGATGAAATTCTGAGAACTGTTTTCCTTCCTGAAACTGAGTATAATAAGTTTTTCCTTATTTACAGGGCTACGCTCATCTAACTTCATTATTGTATTAATTCTTTAAGCAGCTACAGGGACAAATAACCCCCGTGGTCTGCAGAAGGTAGGCTAGAATCCCTCAGAATTTAATTGCAGATTTAATAGGTGTGGACCTTTAGGACACATACATAAGTTTCTGATCTGTTTTATGACTTCTTTAGGACTTTCAGCCTTACTGTTTTGTAGATAGCCATGTGCCAACAAGGGACCAATTACATATCATATAACATACCTCCTTATTTAGGAAAAGCTAACGTTTTAATTGAGCTGTTTGATATAAAAACAGATACGTTAAGGAGTGTAGCGCTGTTAAAAAAATGTAATTGTTCTGTTTCTATAAAGGGACTCAGAGCTGCAAGATTCCTTAGAACGGAAAAAAGGGGTAACATGTCATACAACTCCTAAAAAACAAACAAGTAAACAAAATGAAACAGAAAAGCCACACACAAACAAGAGTCTGGTGGGCAAGAATACGACAAAAGATGTAGGACAATGAGAAAGGAGAAGTGGGGAACGCTTAACTGAAAAAAAGGAACAGATCCTTCAGGAGAGCTAGAGAGCAAAGTCCTGGTCTAAAGAGTTCTTGCTGAACAATTAGATTTACTAGTTGCCGTTATCCAGATGGTAACTATCTACCCACAAATACTATTTGAATGCCTACCTCATATTACCATTAAACATCAGAACAAGTCAAAGACACAACGCACTTGCGCTGCTAATAACGTAGTGCATAGTAATTGTTACGCGTAAAGCAATTACACAGGCATAAAATTTCTAACTATTCTCCTACAATAAATTATGGTTCAAAATTTCCAAAAGGAAAGATATTATAAAGTGTAATCAATCATCTCTGTATTGGGATTTGACAGATGCACTCCAGTCTTCTGAGGATTCATTTACATTATTTCTTATGATCATTTACTACTAAAAATCTGATTGTTAACACTTCTGATGCCTATATACAGCAGATGAGGTTGCTTGAGGTCTTGTTAGTTATTCCCACGCAGAATGCCTCTGCAATGACTGAAACAGATCCCAATGCTGTGATATTGTTTTACTTCGGTCTTTCCATTGACTAATTTGTCAATGCCAATCGCTTGTTCTCATTTTCAAATTCACGAACAAGGTCTGCCCTACTTATCATTCATTCTGTACGAGAACGTTAATTCTGAACTCCAGTCCCCGCAAACAAGGCTAGTTTCCCTCACCTATCAGTTGATTTTTTCCTAAGAAATGCTTTCATGCTGTCTCCCTGACTGCCCTTCTCACTGGCAGTGCAGTTCTGCAAATGCTTACCTCCCAAATGTTGCCTTATACCTGCTGTTCTGTACTGCCCGACAACCAACAGAGGCACTGCTGCTAGTGTTCTGCTTATTTTGGTGCTCTACATAGCTAAGGAAATACAAGAATGAAATAAGACTATGTCTTCATCCATCCATCTTGCTGGTCCTTTCCTCTATGTGAAAGGGGTTTTCCGGTTTTGGTTTGTTTGTTTCAAATGTTTACACAAAGCCCAGTTGGATCGTGATCCATGATGTGAAATCAGGTGCTTACATAAATACACTTCACTAATGTTTATATTGCCCTCTGTATGTTTGCCTCGATTCAAAATAAAGCATAACTGAACATTTATGTTTGGAAAAATAATGGGTTTGCATGTTATGCTAGAACTCACATATAAAATACAAGAGTAAGAAAATACTCAATAGCCCATATATGCTGAATATAAAATTGGGTCGCAGTTTTTTATTTTGCTTTGACTTCTGTTCTGTACCTTTCTAGGCTCTCTTTGAAAAAAGAGAGAAAGAGGGGGGGGGTTTGGAAGAGAGACTGCATAGTTATTTTTCCACTACAAATGCATCAACGCAAGCTGCAGAAACAGAAGAATGTATTCATTTTTATTTTTCAATATGTATGGCACACCAGTGCATTGACTATTGGATGCCCCAAGAGAAATACCAGAAATATCATTCAATATTCATGTTAGGAAATCAAAACATAAACTTTATTGTATGGATTTGTTTTGGGAAGTTTGGTATTCATTAATATATTGAGTAAGGTAAATACATGGTCAATAAAAAACAATGTTATTGCTCATTTCCTTGTTCCTTCAGATTTTAGAATCAAACAGAGTAAGAAGCCTTCAAGCTCTTTCAGAGCTCTCCTATAACATTTTATTCTTTCCTTGTGTCCCACACAC